CACACACACACACACACACCGCCGTCTCGAAGGTCCGCTCGCGGGTGCCTTAAAGAAAACTGACCCGGGAGTTGCTCCCCGGATGGATCATCCTTTCTTAAGCAATTTAAGAGCATTGCCACCGTCTTGCAGACTTTCCTCTCTGCTTTTTCTTTTCTTTTTCCTGGCACTCTATTGTGGACGGCCAAGCAGAGCTCCAAGAGGGATGGGGGCCCAACTTCAACCATTTTTTTAAAAAAAGCGGGTGCAGCCCGGAGACCATGCAGCGCCCTCCCCCGCCCCCAAAAGCGCCTCCTGTTGATGTTCTCTCTGGGGAGGGGAGCAAAGGAAGACAGTCAAGGGAATACCCCCCCGCTTCTCCTCTACCCCTTCTTTTCATTCATCGGGAAGGAAGGATGGAACTACTTGGTCATCCCGCAAAGGACGGACGGAAGGAAACAGGTATACAGGCTTTTCTCTCCCAGAGGGAGCACCGCTCAAGGGCCGGGAGAGCTTTCCTTCCTTCTCGCTCGTCCCGCAGGAATACGAGGGAAAAAAGATAGGAGGCAGCTGCTTGGCTCTTCGCGCTTCTCCTTCGTCTCAGGAGATTCTGGGCTGGGTAGCTGGAGGCGTGGCCTTCGACTCCTCGTGGAGCGAAGGTTTGGCCAGCCCAGCTGCTGATTGGTGGCTTTTCTTCTTCTTCTTCTTCAAAAGAAACATGTCAGAGCTTTCTTCCCCTGCTACAAACTTGCCCAGGCTCCCTCCTCCCCGGCCAACTGCGCCTGCTGGAAACAGGCACTCCAAGGCAAATTACAAGAGAACCTGAGAACCGGCCGCAACCTGACGCTTCCTACTCGTTCATTGGGAGAATCGTTTAGCTCCGCCTCTCAAGATGGAGCGATTCGTTGTCCGGCGACCGTGATTCAGCTTTCTCTTAGGTTGGCGCGGGCTGCCAGTCATTTTGAAGGACGGGCTGTTCTTTCTCCATTGGTCCTGCCCCTTTTCTTGCCTCCTCCTCCTCCTCCCTCCCCCCCCCCCCCCGAGCCTATTGATATTATTGGAGTGTGGAGCGAGCGGTTCGGTCTGCAGTCGGAGACTCGCAGGCAGCAAATACGGAGAGCGGAAAAAGCGAGCCGGGAAAAGCGAGCAGGCAGCCGCGGAAGAGCTGCGTTGAAAGAGCGCTGCACGTTAAAACACATCGCAGCCGGAGCCCTTAGATGAGCACCGAGCAGCAGCAGCAGCGCTAACCAGCCACGGGAGCAAGCAGAAGCAAATGCCAAGCGCAGTCTCTCTCTCTCTCTGAATGTATATGCATAATATCCTTAGCTTGATTTAAACACCTCCAGCTCACGCATCATGGTTTTGCAAACTAAGCTCCCTTCTTGGATTATTTTGTGTAACATCTGGCTGCTTCAGTTTGCACACACGGGGGAGGCACAGGCTGCGAAAGAAGGTAAGAGGATGCTGGCCACAAAGTTTATCGTTCCTTTCCCCCCTCCCCTCTTTTTCTTTTTTTTTTCTTTTTCCTCTCCTCCCCTCCCGCTACGAGGGCTTTTTCGGGACCGTTCTGGAGAAAGCGACTTGCATTCCGCTTCCCTTGCCACCCAGACGAAAGGAGAGCGTGTCGGGGGGCACCTTTCGCCCCGTGCCGAGCGCCTCTCGCTTATGCCCTTCCGTCACGAAGTGAAACCGACGTGTGCCCCCCCTCCCTCCCCAAGGCATTGATCGGGAAGGAGAGAAAGAGAGATCGGGATCGCGCCCCGATTGTGTGTTTGCATCCGAGACTTACGCCGCATTTTCTGAACTGGGTTAGCTGCGCGAGGGGCCGCACGTGATGAGAAAGGTCTGGGAAGGCTTTGAATCTCCATATATGCCAGTTAGCGGCGTGGGGGGGTATATGTATGGAAAGAGGAGGAAGAGCGGTGGGTAGGATCCTCGGATGGGTTCCTCTTATCAGGGTTAATTTTATAGATTGATAGATTAGCCCTCTCACCACTCGAAACACATCTGGCTACGAGGCGATTACCTCCCGGCTTCTTACACCGCCGAAGTCCGGGATGGGGAACGGTGGAGAGGGTAGGGGGCTGGTATGAAGCGAGAGACCTGTTCCAGGACTGCAGAGGAGTTTCGGCCCCCTAAGAACGTGTCGTTTTAAGGATTAGGGAGGGGTGGACAAATAAACTGCCTTTCCTTTGATAGCCACCCGTGTCACCTGTAATAGCTAATAATAAAGGCCATCTGTTCCGTTTTGTGCTGGTGGCCTGATCGCATCTCGCAGGGCGCGGAGTTTTAGCCAAACGAGGAGCGCCCGCCGAGTAGAAATATTTGCATCACGTACGCAGGCAACGCCGCGTATCTCTGTATAAATGCCGCGTTCTTATGGGCGCTGAATGGACATGACGACCTCCGCACCCTCAGTCGCTCGCTCTGTACATAATATGCGTCTGTGTATAGACCGATCCAGCAACACATTTTTATTTTTATTTTTTGCAAGACCGATCGGGGCTCCGAAAAAAACCCATATTAGTGCCAGATCTATTTTAAAAGGGACAATTGGAAGGCGCTGCTTCTCTATAGGCAAAAGTCGTGTGTTTTCTTACTTGGAGAAAATCGAAACGACGTTAAAGACCGAGGAAATGATTTGTTGGGGTGGGAGATTGAGACAGCCCCCTCTTCTCCGTTTCCGGGGACTTCTTTTTCCTCCTTTTTTGAGCTATGGGGAGCATCGAAAAAAAATCATGCTTTCCACTAATCAATTGGAAATGGGGAAGCGAGGCTCTCGGAGATGAAATAAACGTTATACGTAAAATGGAAGTCCATATGCACGCCTATGCTGGGGAATGGGATCAAGCCCACTTGAAAACTTTATCTGAAAGATGAAATCTCTTACCTCGGGAAAGGAGAGGAGGAGGCTGAGAACAAAACTCTGGAGTAGGGGGTGAGATACGTGGTGGAAAGCAAGCGGCACCTTCCCTCTGGAGTCCTTGAGTGGTAATTGAAGGTGTGTGATTTAACATATACTTTGAAATCGCCTGCTAATTTAAGAATTGACACTCATTTGACCGAGCTGATCAGAGAAAAGGAATTTGTCTAGGAAGGAGCTCTGATCTCTTGAGAACTCACCTTTACCTGGGCGAGGCAGACTCGCAAAACTTTCCAACTTTCGGAGTTGTTTTCGGACTCTGAATACCTAAGAAGGATCGGTCGTCAGTTGCGCTCACCTGTTTTCTTCCTCCTTACGAAGGGAAAAAGGAAGAAATGCATGTAAGGGAACGGAGTTCAGGTGCTTTTTTTAAAAGAGGGGTTAAGAAGCCCTCTTGAGTGTGTGTGGTGAAGACGCACGGTTTTTTCCCCCCAGCCATCCTACTGGAAATCAGAGTTGAGCCAACGGAGCTGCCGCTGAATAGGGCGAAGGAGACAGGGGGAGGCAAAAAAACGAGGCTCACCGCCCCATTGAAGTTACTCCGGCGGCGCTTTTTCCCTAAGGGATCGGTATCCTTTTCACCTGTAGGCGAAGCCCCTGGCGCGTCTCAGGTGCTGCGCCGGGAAAAGTGGAGTCAGTGGCGGTGGAGGTGTGTGCGTGAGATGCTCTTTTTAGCACCTTAGTGAGGAGAAGCGCGGGAACTGGCCGTTTCTTGCAAGAGCTCAGCTCAGAAAGAAAGAAAAAAAGGTGGGGGGGAGGGTGAGAAACTCCTCCGCGTTTCGCTCAGCGGGAAAAGGAAGCGCAGCATGGGTGGAAAAATGGCTTTCGGACACTTGGAGGGGAGATGCTGCTCTTCCTTTTAATGGGAGGAGTAGCCAGGCGAGACTAGGACTCTCTCTCTCCTCCTCCTCCCCTTGGGAGGTACATCCTTCTTGTCTGCTTTCTCTTTGAGTACCTAAGGTGTCTTATGGCTGGGTTTATGGACTGAACTGGTATCCCTTCATTATGTAGGCAGACTTCATTCTTCTCTTAGAAGTTCTGTTAACTGACATTAGCACTGAGGGCTAAGTGAGGGAAATTATTAATAATTTCAGGGTTTCGGGCCACATGCAAAGTGACACTAGCTCACTCCCCAAGGAATTCTGAAAGGCATCCCTGCTGCTCTTTAAGCAAATACTCAGGTTGAGTGTGGCACTTTAGGTCTAAGGGAATCTGAGATTTCTTCCTGTCCAGACCACTAACCACCATCTGCCCCCTGCATAAGATAAAAGCATGCATGACCCAAAACAGATTATATGGCTTCCCCTCAGTTTTCACTCACTGAAACTGAACTAACAGAGGGGAGGGGAGGGAACTATGCTTTCTTGAGAAAATTAAGCATCTGTCTAACATGTAGGGTTATTCTGTCACATTGTGCCTTCTCTGTTTGGTTTTGTCAGGGGAGGAAAAAAATCCCCCTGTACCGTCCCTTTTTAGGAAATCAGCATAATAATACATTGCTTTAGAGTTCTAGTGGCATTTTGAGACCCTGTCATCTGATTTTTTGAAGTAAATTTGGTGTTAGTGCAAGTATGTGGTACAGATTTGATGGGATCTATCCCCCCCCCACCCTTCACATTTTCTGATAATGACTTGGTTTGAGTCAAAAAGTGTCTGTTCTGAAAAGAACAAGTTCTGCTTACAACCCTTAGCAGAAACTTTAGGGAACTTCACTGTCAAGAATAAATAAAAGGATTCCTCAGTACTTGCAAAAGGATTTCAAGATAAAGTTGCTGTTCATCTTTCTGTATCATAGAAGAGAGTTCTCCTAACTTTTTCTACACATTGATACTAAAATTATAGTTTTGCATGTTCAGGAAGATTTTAAAAGGTTTTTACTTTTCACTTTTAGTTTTGGAATTGGTTTAATTTGAGTACTGTGTATGTGTAAAATATTTTAAAAATGCAATTGCTCTTCAGTCTGTTTCAAGGGCATGGAGTGGTTAAACATGTAGAATGACGTTTCATTAGCTGAATTTATTAGCCTGGGTTTTGATTAGCAACCAAATACACAACTCTTTTATTAATAAATTTATTTTAGAAACTATTAACACCGTAGAAGAAATCCCTTAGATATCTGGATTAATTAGTGTTGTAATTATGTAGAAATTATGCTTTTTGTATGAAGCCTAACTTCCTTCACTGAGAAAGCGTAAAATTATATCAAAGATACACATGAGATTTTCTCAGTATGTTTTCACAGTATGTAAGACTGCAACCCTTTATGCCTATTTACAAATACTATTGAAATCACTGTAACTGTTAACTTTTATATGCACATGTGATCAGGCTATGCACATAATCCTCTTTAGCTATATTATTGTTAGAATATTATAAAAGTAATGCTTAAATCCATTCTTGAATATTCCAATTATTATTATCAAGGTTTGTTTTATATAGGGTGAGGGTCAAATTACAAAAGGTATTTTAAATTTAAAACTGAGAGCATCTCTCTTACCTGTGCAAAGTATTGATATAACTTATTATAACTAATGTAATACATGCATACGTTTTATATTAACTTGTTAATTGAAATATTTTTCTTAATATAGTAGGTGAGAAAATCTATGATTTGTATGATGATAAATCAATGAATAAATATCATATTAATATAAATGATTCACAAAATTATGATGTTGAAATAATATTTTAATTATTAATCGCACCTACCAACAGCTTGGAACATCTTACAAAACACACAAGTAATGTGTCAACAAAGTTTTACAGTTTTGTTTAGATGCATTCTTTGCTGAATAAGTGTGAAAACTGAATTCTCTTACTGATATACTAACCCTTTTATGTTTATGTTGTAAATTAGAGTAAAAGTCAAAAGAACTGTTACTTTAAATATTACATTTAATTTAGAACAGTACATAAATACATATGAAATTTGTGTCATTAAATAAAGGTTGAATAGACTTCATATTAAAAAGTTACTATTATAAAGGCATTACAGTATAAAGGAGATCTCTGCCACTTCCTTTACATTTCCTTTGGTTTATATTACCTACTAAAGTATCCTTGTGAAATCAGTCACTTTTCAGTATGTTCAACCAGCTGCTAAGATACTATTTTTTTTCCTTGAATAGAAACATGGAGGCAAAGTAATGTCCTTAGTTTACACATAATCAGCATGAGTGTACAATTCTTAAAATACTTTAATACATATTTTTTTTCTTTCAGTAATATTGCTGGATTCTAAAGCACAACAGACAGATTTGGAATGGATTTCTTCTCCTCCCAATGGGGTAAGCACACCATTTAAATCAAAATCCAAAATCAGAATAAGTAGTTTAAATGAACTTGCTCAAAATTCCTTGAAGAAAACTTATGGTGAAAAAAATTCTGTTCTGAAAAGCATTGTGATTCAGATACAAACTAATATAGATATTTTCTTAGATGTTAAATGCCTTAAACTGCGGCATATCTCAAAGAACTTTTTTTAAACTTGAGTAATATTATTTCAATTTTCATTCTTAAAAACAACTTTACTGATCATAATGTGGGACATTATTTGCATCATTCTGTGTAATTAACATATAATTATATTCTATTAATACATTATAATTAATATTTCAGGTACTTACTTAAACATTCTTGTAAATTTTTTAAATTCAAGACCAATTATGCTGGCTTTAAGGCAGAAATTTGTATCTTTAATTCACAATTTTTTCCCCAAAGCAAGATTATCTTGCTGATTTCTGAAAATATCGTTATAAATAATAGTTTCATTATTGGTTTAAGTAATTAATCTTAATATGGTAAAAATATTTGTGAGACCCTTGTAGAGAAAGGACAGAGCGTAAGTTTGAATAATATATAATTATTTCAAAGATTATTTAAGTAGCTATGATATGACTGAATACATTAGCTTTAGAAACTGCAATCAAATAAGTACTGTATTTTCTAAATTCTCCCTGAAGCTTGATTATTTTAAATGGATATTTTCAGTCTACCATTTAGAGTAGTTCATATTAATACAAGTTTCAACTAAAAGTTTATACAACCAAGCCTTTAATCTGGCACTTATAAAGAAATCTGGAACCAAAAGAAAGTGAATTTTGAGTGGGGATGTAGAAGTGTGACAAATCCTGTAAATAAAAAGAATGAAAACTTGAAAGTCTGTTAACTAATAAGAAAGATCATAAAATCAATCCAGGCACTGGCTGGAAACAAGTCTAATGGTTTTTGGAATGTATGAAATGTTAGCTGAATGCTTAAGATGAGAATTAACTTAAGCAGTAGCACTGCACACTGAAGGAAGTCTTTTAAGAAAAGGATTAAAACAATTTTAGA